CCGGGCTGACTCGGCCCGGGCTGACTCGGGCCGGGCTGACTCGGCCCGGGCTGACTCGGCCCGGGCTGACTCGGCCCGGGCTGACTCGGCCCGGGCTGACTCGGCCCGGGCTGACTCGGCCCGGGCTGACTCGGCCTGGGCTGACTCGGCCCGGGCTGACTCGGCCCGGGCTGACTCGGCCCGGGCTGACTCGGCCCGGGCTGACTCGGCCCGGGCTGACTCGGCCCGGGCTGACTCGGCCCGGGCTGACTCGGCCCTGGCTGACTCGGCCCTGGCTGACTCGGCCCGGGCTGACTCGGCCCGGGCTGACTCGGCCCGGGCTGACTCGGCCCGGGCTGGCTCGGCCCGGGCTGGCTCGGCCCGGGCTGGCTCGGCCCGGGCTGGCTCAGGCTGGCTTGTCTTGAAAGTATTTTGTGTTAATGCGAAACAGGTTTGATCCAGGGTAACTTTCCTATTGCGCATGCGGTTTGAGGTCGCGAAGTTGAGAGGGTTGGCGGTTTTTTGCTTCTTTCCGTACAGCATGTGCGTTCCATGTGCATTTGTAAACTCAGTTTAAACCCAATTTCCTTTAAAGGAGAACTGACACAAAAAATATCTTTTGCTCATTCGATGCTTACTTCAAATCTGGAAAAAGTTTTCTTCTTAGATTCACCGTTTTTCTGATATTTGCACTTTTATCCGTCAATTAAGATCTTGGAAAACGCAGTTTTATCATGTAACTGATAACTTACAAAACGACAAAGAAAAACATCTTGTTTAAGGTCTAATACCAGACACGTAATCACTGGGCGGTGTGGGAGGGGTGTTGGTTCGGTGTGAACCCCCCCCCCCCAATCTGTTATCCAATCGGAAAATATGAGGACATTCAGAAAATTTAAAGCTGTTGGCAGAAAGCTAGGTTAATCGAAAAAAAGTTAAATCATTTGTGAAAATTGAAGTTTTGACTCATTTGGTCTTGTGAACTGTAGCTCAAAGAGTTCGTGTAAGAAAAGTACGTGTAAGTGCAAAAAAATTTTTTTTTGGTAAAAAGCGGTCCTAAAAAGAATGAGAGGCAACGCAATACAGAAAAAACGTAGTTTTGTATGAAAATGCAAGTGATTTTAACTACAGTCGTCGTAATGGGGATAGTGTCATAATGATTCCATCAAATTGCCTCTAAATACGGGATAAAAAATAGAATTTTTTAAATAATATTTAACAGTATTGCTTAAAGAAGCGCAGTACATTTCCCATGACTTGTCAAGAACTTTCTCCGTTCGTCAGATGGAGAGCTAAGGGTTTCAGCCCCCTCCCCCTTTTTTGCAAAAATGTTTTTTTAAGCAGATAAAAGAGTAAAGGAAAAGGTATAAAGAAAAGAATAATCCGACACATCCTTTAGTTGCTTAATTTCCAAGGAGAACGCCGAGGTCTATGGGGCATCAAATAATAATGAATTCAATTTTGAGACTTGAATTAATCAAGCGTAATAAGAGCATGCCTTGAAAATAACGAAATGTTTTAAACGATTGCAAGAAAATAACTGCAAGAAATAGTCTGAAATGTATTTTAAGCTAATCTAAAAAGGGTGCTTGTGAAAATTGTCTGCTCGCTTCGCTCGCAAGGAAGCCACTTCTTTCAAATATCCCCAAGGCCTCCGCCAACATCCCGCCGGCCCCTTCAAACGTACCGCTAGCATAATATGTGCCCCGTAACATAATAAGAATATAATATAGTGAATCGTTTTAATGCGTTTTTCAAAAGATGGTCCTTTAGTCTGACAATTCTATCAACTCGAGCCCCCCTCCCTTTGAATTTCTTGGCGCCGCCCCTGTGAAAGACTAAACAACCTCATGATTCTAACTTGCGAGAAAGACATTTTGGACAACGTAAATTTAGATAAGATTGAGGAGCAATGGGCAAGTCGTAGAAGGAGAAAAATTATCACCTGATTTCTGGACTACGTATGTTTTGATGCGCTAATTAAACTAACAGTCTTTATGCTCGATCTTCCAAATTTACGAAATCTAACAACTTTATCATACAGCTGACTAATTATTATCGAGAAAATTTATAAGGTTTTGTTAATAAAAACTATTGAAGTTTAGGGCCTCATACGAAATTAGAATTGACCCTTTGTCAGTCGGAAATTTTGAGCCCTTCACCACCCCCCAAAAAATCATCTGCCAGTTTACGTCCCTGTCCGACATAATTCTTGCATATTTTCCCGTCAAAAAGACAATTGAGACATTTTCGGAATTCTATTCCGACATATACAACTTAGGCAACTTAGGTTAGACAAAGTCAATAAGGCGTAGACATGATCGTTTCGATTTCCGCTAGTGTCATATTCAGTAGCCAAGTATTTACAAAGGCAACAATTTTTTATAAGTTAGAGTTAAAAAGAAGAAACAATAGAGATCGTAAGCCATGTGACCAGGCAGGTTGCGGGGAAAGCAATAAGAAGACCACAAAAAGTTATGATGAACACCCAAGAGGAAAATAAACATGTCACAAAGAAATAACATAGAAAGATATGGTTATCATCAAGCATTGGTTAAAATCACAAATTTAGCAAATTGCAACTTGCGTAAGAACCGCAGCAGCACAAATTTGGCAATAATTTAATTAAGTAAAAATTTGTGGCAAATAGTTTAGTCTAGAGTCTAGAAAATATTATGTTTACGTAGTTGGAAACCTGGGGCTGGGGCTGGGGCTGCTATACACATTAGAAGGCTCTTGCTCGTTTCGTGTCAAACAAAGGATTGATTTGAATTTGAGAGCCATTAAATTTGACGTTAAAAGAAAGTTTGTAGCCCGAAATATTTCATATAGGTTATATAAAAACAGTCGTCATTTGTCACTTGCAGATCCCTCAGTCAAGCGAAGGAAAATTGAGCGGTCAAACCGCAGACGTGTGATATGTCTAAATTGCAACAAAGAAATGAACCAAGACAATGCTAAATATCAACACCAATCGCAGTACAAACATGAGATTCTGAAGTTCAGGGACATTGTTGATAAATCTCAATAAGTACTCAGTTTTGGAGCAGTTACGACAGTGGTAAGAAGCAGTAAACAAATTGACAAATAAGAGAATTTGGACTATCTTAGGTCACCAGTGGCGTAGCCTGAACCTTTTTATAGGGTGTTCACTTTGGCCAAAAAGGCGTGATTGTGCGTGACATTGAAGAGATCTATTGAAACTAGGTGGGGTGAACAGATTTGAATAACTTGTGCTGGAATCATTACAATAGCGAAATGTGTTACCTTTGTTGGGGTTTCTTACGAAGGGGAAATTGATGCTTGTGAACCAACTGGTGGGCTAGGCCAATGCGCCTTTGCCCGAGTTAAGTAAAACTGAAACTTTCAACAAACGCTTACAACATAAGCAGAAGCTAATTAAGCAAGACAGTTTGTGCCCCACAATAAGCGCTGACAGACACATTAGAAAGGTGCATACTAACAGTGGCGGCTCCAGCCTGGGATAAGTGGGGGGGGGACAAAAGGTGTGTCAGGGACCACGCCCTGCTTTCCCCTGCTTGAAACATTTTCTTCCCGAGGAAACACCTCTTGTCTCCTGAGAAATGTCACTTAAATGTGACGATCCAAATAACGTATTCCCCCCCCCCCCCCGAAGTTTTTTTATCAGATTTTCAAGAATCTCAAGGACCAACTTTCTGAAAGGGGGGGGGGGGGGGGACCGTGGCTCCGTGACTGCATACTAACACAACAGGACACAGCATGGCATGTGACTGGCACCTGAGACATTAAAAAATATATTAAGTACAAATCCAACCGCTACTTTTTTCCAATGGCTGTTAAATTGTGAAACATTTTAAACAAATTAGCAACTTCTACTGAACAGAGTTCTTCAAGTCTATTGACAGCCTTTCTGCTACTCTTGCTGAAAAGGAGAAGTGTCTCAGAGGTACGTTTGAACCCTTCCTAAAAGTATTGAACCCAGAAATGCCGGGCACTGTCGAAGAAATGCGCAGTCTTCTGATGTCTGATGTGTGATTCTCGATAAAATAAATCGTTTATTGCTTTTAAGATTCTATTTAAAATGACTTTCATTTATTGATTCCACTAAATGTATGTGTGATCTTTCCTTAAATTCTGCAAGATCTTTTTGTAAAAATGGAGATTTTTAGACTCTTTGTAGAACTTAATTCTGATTTTGTTAATAATTTAAAAAATATAAATATTTTTTACAGGACTGGTTCAATTGGAGCAAATATTCACGTTTCTTCGAAGCTGATAGCAAAAAACAACGCTGTGCTAGATTGCCAGAATCAATTGAGGGAAATGTTCACTAAATATACCACTAATATATCATAGGAAGATGACCAGAAGAAGGAAGAATCCAAATTGATCTTAAAGTACTCTTTGGCCAAAACCTCTGACTTGGCCTTGGTAATCCTTCTTTTGAATATAACCATTATATTTGGTATTCCTTTATACAACGTAACTAAATACATAGCGCAAGATAGATGTTCAAAAATTGCCTCATGATCGCTTTTTATTAGTTAGAAATCGGCAATAATATTTGTACACAAGATAATATGTCACAAGATAATATGATAATATGGCAATAATAATATGTCACAAGATGTAATTCTATTTGCAAATGCCCAATTGTAGATCCAGCTGAGACGTGTCAAAACTACTTCTTCAAGCTCTGACGTCTGCCAATGATGTCTTTTTTCTTTAGTAATGCTAGGGAAGGCACAAGAGCCTATTGCTAAGCGCTAACAAGGAAAAGGGAGGAGGGATTAGGAAATGAGAGAGAAAAGATCAGGCGTCTTTATTTTTGTTTTGAAGTCTGGAAAGCAGGAGGGGGGTAAAGCATTCCAAAGTTTACAAGATCTAGGGAGAAAGGAAAGAGTTGTGGGATTCATTTCGTGAGTTTGGCAAGGAGACTTGGAACTTGGAAAGGGTGAGCGCTAGAAGAGTATCTGGTATTACGTACATGCCTCAAAGGGGCCAGGGATCGTATCTCTGATATCCCGAGAGCAATGGGCATGGTAATATAGCTTTCAGTGACCGTGCAAGAAGAGATGTTGACCAAGAGGCCCGATTAAATATGATTAAAAGACTGTTAAGATATGTAAGACAGGAGAAGGTTCAGGAAGAGAAACAGACACATTCTAACCGTGACTGATTTTGCTCATTTGTTTTTATAAAATGCTTCTCTCTACCTAACTCTTTTAAGTATTGCTTTTTCATTTTTATTTTGTATGATGTTTTGTTTTGTTCACCTCTTTTAATCTTCTTGGGTATTAGTCGATTAGTTCGAGTGTCCCAATATTTAGGCTTTTCTCTAAGAATTTTCTCTCTATCACCATTTTTGTAGCCATTTTATTTTTAACAAACGATCTTTCTTCTTTTTACAGTAAGTCGATTATCCATGCTTAGACCGGCAGTTGCTTAGAAAACTCTTTTGGGCACATACAAAATTCAGAAGCTGCTTGGTTTTTCGAATGGCTGCAGTCTGATGACACAGTAGACTTTTTTCAAAGATAATGGCGATGAACATCCTTGAGCACCTGAGGAGCGAACCGATAGAGTACAAGGACATTTAGAGATTTCCTGATCTGATGGAGCAGTCATCTCAAAAGGCTGCTTTTAGATTCAAGGTAAAGATATCGTATGACTATTTTTGTAAATATAAGCTTTATCATCATTACTTCTACAAAGGAATCCCAGTGTCCAATTTTGAAGCAGTTAATTTTCGGTAGAATATCATTGTCCAATTTTGAAGCAGTTAATTTTCGTCATTGTAGACTATTATCTACCGTGGCCCATTTTGACAGAAGTTCTTCTACAGTGAGCCAACATGACAAATGCTCTTTTCCAAAGGCCTGTTTTGAAGAACATTCTTCTCTAGACCCCCTTGTTGACGAACGCTCTTCGCCATAGGCCCATTCGATGAACGTCCTTCTTCCTAGACCTAGTTCTTTTAGTGTTACCGTATTTTATATAATAATAAAACGAATACTTGAACAAGATTTACAGTTCAACGAGACTGCTGTTTTTATTGTGTCTTCTGTGCCCTATGCAAGTAATGTTAAATGTAATCTTAAAAAAGTAATTATCTAAATGACATAAAAAGCGTATTAGTCTAATCTTTTAATCTATATTAATAGTTCCGGATAAAATTGCCAAATAAATGATCGTTTCTTGATCACATCTTAGTTCCAGATACACTGCTGGCCTATGGATTTGTAGTTGGGGCTTTGAAGATGGTTTGGATGGTTCGCTGAAAACATTTATTGTTTTACTTCTTTAGATATTTATATATTAATTTATCTTAATATACAGTGTCTCGATCTCTACTGAATATACTCACAATAGATTAACTTGGTTTTCACTGTCCCAAGTCTTTTTACAGGAGAAGAGACAAATTATAACCTTGTTTCGACAGCTTGACCCAGCGTAGTTAAGCCATTACAATGATTTTTTCACAGACATCTACTAGGATAGAACAAGACGCGCTTCTTTATTCACACATTTACTTCCAGAAAATTATCTTGGTAATTAATATGTTTATTAGAGCTAGTTCTCGTAAATAATGGATTTTAGATTATTCTGTAATGAGTCTGTCCTGTTTTTGTATTCCGGCTGTCGTTGATTTCTAGATGTTTTTACATGTTATATTAATCTATCGTAGAAATTGAAATGCGAGTATCCAGACAGAACTTGTTCACTGTGTTCTGACTTGTGTTATGTAAGTGAATTACCAGGGATCTATTTCTTAACAAGAGAAGCAAGAGGAGGCTCTTGAGATATTCAAGACTGCTGACCTCAAAGGAAAACAGACTCTCTACGCAACTGTCGCTTTTCAGAGGGCTCTGACAAGTGTTTTCAAAAGCTTGAAAGTTTCACAGTAAGATGGTTTTTTGTAAAGTTGTAGTTTTTCTCTTATCAGATTTTCTTGGAAGGGAAACTTGTCTCAGAGATTTAAATCGAAATGCTTTTCTATAACACAAAGAATGATGAATAATGTATCTCATTTTAGGCTTGATATAATTTTTTTTCAAAAAATATGCTTCTTCAGATAGTTGCTATGAAATGACGTGAAAGTGTTGATGTCTCTTTCTAAAAAAATACAATCCTTGATTCCTTTTTACTTTTCTTGCAAAATTGAGTACACAATGCTAAGGTCTGCTTTTCTGTTTAATTCAAATCTTTATTTTACTTATTGGATATTGTGTACATTTGATTTATTTTAATTGGGAAGTTTTTTCAAGCTATTCAGCTCCAATTGAAAAACTTGCTGGTATGTTAGATACGGTAAATGAATATCTGCAACATGATGCCACTTTAGTGTCTGAGCAGGACCTGCTGCAGTTTGCTAGGCCACTGTGTGAAGACATCAAAGTTGAAAAAATTCTGAAATTGGAAATTTCACGGCTTTAAAGCATTCATTTGAGCTGAGCAAGGGTTATTTAGTTTAATTTATTTATCAAAAAACAGATGGAATAATTTCATCGAACTCGGATCGAAAGCTGTTTTGGAAACTTGCTTTGTCTCAAATCCCTCACGGTTGTTAAAGATGACAGTTTCTGCTGCCCCTGCTCTTATTTTGGTTTTCTTTGCATTTATTGCATTTAAATAATTGCTATAAAATTGGATACACTGTATTCAGAAATTTTTACTGTATCGACAATTTATCCCTCAATCCCTCACCTTAATCATGGTTTACCTGGATCAGGCGATAAGAATACAGCGTCATGTTTGTCTCTGCTGAAGACTATAAGCATGTTTTGTATGATACCGGCATGAACAAAAGTGTCTAAGGCCTTCCACACAAAGAAACGTGAAACAGTTTCACAAGCAGCCTGTAGAAAAGACTGTCTCTGTAGCATCTGTTTATATTGGCCTGAGTTTACTTTCTCGATTCAGATAGTGGCTTTATGGGGTGGTCTGAGTCAAGTTTTTCAGCAGGTGAAACCATTTTGCATGTGTTTCGAGAATTCTTAAGAGAATTCCCCATCATCAAATAGTATTTTACTAGACAAGCTCGAGAAATTGACAGTTCTTTAGCTTTGCATTTTTCGTTTTTTAGATATCAGTTAAGGACAAAGAAAGGGATGCAGACAAATTCTACCTGTTTTGGATGTAGTAAAAGAAAGTAAAATGCGAGTGAATTAGAGGAAATAAATGAAGTATTGACAACTGCTGTTGTGTTGGCCGGCTTCTGCTGCTAACTGAGATGAAGTAAGTTCAAGATACAAGTGTTTTCATTTCATTTTTCCCATTTTCAATTTTTGGATAAGAGAATCCAACTGGAGGTTATTTATTTTTGGAAAGGGAACCCGTTTAAATTCAGTTTCGACATTTGCATATGGTTTATATTGCTTGTTTGTGACATAAATCTTAATAAAAAATCTTACTTATTTCTTAACGATAGATACTAAGCAAAAGTTCATGGATTGTAAACGGACTAGAAACCATCTTTGGAATGTGCAGTCTTCAATTGTGATATTCTAATAGTGGATATCAAGAGTTAAGTGACTGTCGACAATGTTCCATACACCTTGTTAGTCACGCGATAAATCAATTGCTGAGAGCGAGAGAGCCTGATAGAAGGTTGAACAGGGAAAGGTTCCTCTTTGCTGGAAGATTTTAAATCCATGGAAAGGTCACCACCACTTCCTCCTAGCCTGTAAATAAAGGCAACAATGGAAGAGATGTTCAAGATTGAAAATTCATTGGCAGTTTAAACAGTCTTTTGTAAGGTGACCGAAGTTCTTCCCTCAGTTGATTAAGCTCACATGCTATATGCAGAAAAACAATCGAAATAACGGGCTTCAGAGAAGGACCCTGTTCACGAAAATCCTTCATCTGCAGAAAATGACATCATCATCTTTTTGGAAAAGTTTGTAACTATAGGCCATGGAGCATCGAGCTCGAAGCTTTCTAATATATCTTTTTACGCGCTGTCTTCGTTGTATAGTTGAGGAAAATTACCCGCTTTTCAATTTAGCAAGGTCAAATTTGTTAGTTGATGATATCATTTTAGCTAAATTATCTTTTCAAAGCGAAAAATGATGAACATAAATTTGGATGATTTTGCTTAAAGAATAGTTGATAAGTGCGGAAGA